GAGGTTGCTGTGAGCTGTGATGTCATAGCATTCTACCCAGGGTGACAGCTTGAGGCTCTGTCTCAAAAAACAAAAAACAAAAAAACAAATTAGCTAGGTATTGTGGCAGACACCTGCAGTCCCAGCTACTTGGGAGGCTGAGGTAAGAGAATCACTTGAGCCCAAGAGTTTGAGGTTACTGTTAGCTATGATGTTACAGTACTCTACAGAGAGTGACAAAGTGAGACTCTGTCTCAAAAAAGAAAAAAAAATTAAAATCTTGATTATCATGGTGATATATCTTTCAAATTATTCAGAGAGACTTGTTAAAATTTCCAAATATCCAGCCATAATCTGAGTTATGATGATTATATTGAATTAATATTATTAATTGTATTATACTGTCTTAACTGAATTCTTTTCCATATTTGGAAGTAAAAACAAACAAAATGCTTGAAATAATATTTGTGGTCCAAAGAAAGTGTGTTTTAAAAACTCCCATGTTTGCTAAAATTGAAAAGTTCTGGTTGACAGTGTTTCTAAGAGTGACCTAGGGACAACTCTGTCAAAACTCAGTGGTAAACTCTCTTTTCTATAATCCCCCAGGGGTTTCCCGGTACTCAGGGTGATCCAGGACTTAAAGGAGAAAAAGGTGAAACACCTTGGCCTGTGGGGCAAGAGGGTGCCCCAGGAGAACCAGGGCTTCAAGGGCAACCAGGGAGGAAGGGCTTCGATGGAATCCCTGGAACTCCAGGACAAAAAGGATTACGAGGACCTAAAGGTGAACCGGTTGGTATCAGCAGCTTTCCCCAAATTATCCTCCCTATAAATGAAGTGTTCTTAAGTTAAGAGATAAAGTGTTTTCTTTTCAAAAAATGTCCACTCCGGGCTCGGCGCCTGTGGCTCAAGCAGCTAAGGTGCCAGCCACATACACCTAAGGTGGTGGGTTCAAATCCCCAGCCCGGGCCCGCCAAACAATGATGGCTGCAACCAAAAAATGGCCAGGTGTTGTGGTGAGCGCCTGTAGTCCCAGCTACTTGGGAGGCTGAGGCAGGAGACTCGCTTTAGCCCAGGAGTTGGA